CATGGGCGCCGTCGACGAGGAATAGGACTTTCTCGAGACGGTGCGGCGGATGGGGTACATGAATGAGGAGACGGGCGAGTGGCAATACCCGGTGTCTTGACACCACTGTTTTTATTTCTTGATTTGTCTTGTAATTATCCTGTCCCCCTTGTCGGACTCTCATTTCTCCAGCGCCGTCTCTTTTTCTTCTTCTTGGGCGTCGCGACCTATAGCGAGAGGGCGGAGCACCCTGTGGTGTTCTCGAGGTGACGGGAGGTCGGACTTCCAGGATACCCTGTCGACTGGGGGTAGTCTCACTCTTGCATTCTCGTTGCGCAAGACGGAGAGTTTGTGTGGATTGGGGCTTTGCTGTTCACAGCCTCGGAGTGGTGGTGTTCTGGACATGTACGAATCAATCCGGGCTGGACTGTGAATACGGCCCCCGTTTCTTCCGCGCCTCGATCGATCGATTGAGAGGCATGTGGTCTGTAGCTGTTGTTCGCTTCGAAGATAATACCAATTTGGCTTTTGAAAATGCGTGCTGCCCGCTTGGTGCAGTGAACATGTGCTGCTACAGTGTGCTTATTCTAGGTCAAGACTGGTTTGACCATGGAATTGTCATGGCACGTACAAGCAACTCTTGTAGACCCAGCCGCTTCAGTAGAAGACTACACCCGCCAGACAATGTCCACTCACTGGACGATGAAAAATCTGGCAAATGCAGCTCGACCGTTCTGATCAGCCAGACGACCGTTGATGTATGTCCCCTTTTAGTGTCCGTGGATTTCCTGGCGTCTATGAAGTTCCATCTCCTCGCTCGGCTCTGTGCTGTGCACCAACAATCTCTCGGGCCGAAGGAGGCAGAGTAGGAAACGCAGTGCTCGCTTCAGATGCCCAACACTCCTGCCACGGGAGCCATCATGGGGCTTGGGAATAGAGTGACGATGAGGATTGAGCCTAGACTTGATCGTGGATATTTTGCTGCCGACACCTCATCTGGCGAATAGCTCTGCTGATCACACTTTTTGATGAACAAAGTTCGAGAGAGCAGGATGTTTGAGGCGATACTTGGATGCATCAGACAGAGGATCATAGGCATGATGCCCCTCCCTGCTGATCAGTGGGGAACGCATCCTGCCCCCGTCCATCTCCCGAGAGCGGGCTTATACGTATGTCTTGCAGAAAGAAACAAGACTCCGGGCGAGGTGACGTCAAACAAGCATGCCCCGTTCTCGGGCCGCTGCGAACTCCGTGGAGAGTGTGGGGTAGATGTGGAATTCTCATTCCGCCGTCTCGGTGGGGGCGTCCGGCTCTTCCGATCTTGGATTTGGGGCTTGGGGCCATGAGATCATGACCTAGCCCCGAGCTTGACGTGGACTTGTATAAAATGGTTTGGAGAAGTTCTTCAGCCGTCGTTGGATTCTCTCAAAATCAAAAACCAGCATTCTCCTGCACACCTCAAACCAGATCAACAGCAAACATGTCTCACCTCAAGTACTACGCATACGAGGGCGTCGGGGTACGGAACCGAGAGAAGTATCGATATAGTCAAGCAGTCCGCGTTGGCGACAGAATCGAGTGTGCCGGCCAGGGTGAGTCGCCCGGCACATCCTGACAAGAGGGCCTCGAGCTCGCTGCATCTTGCTCGTTGATGAACTCGCTTTCTGACATGAGCTGCAAGGCGGCTGGCACGATGACGGCACATTCGAGATGGAAATCAACGTCCAGATCGACCGTGCGTTCGCCAATGTCGAGAAGAACCTCAAGGACGCTGGCGGAAAGGGCTGGTCGCAGGTCTTCCGTGTTGATTCGTATCATGTGCCGCTCGACGATGAGGCGCTCGCTGCCATGATTCGGAATTTTGCCAAGTACATGCCCGATCACCAACCGATCTGGACGTGTGTTGGTGTTCCGCGTCTCGGGGAGGAAGAGATGAAAGTGGAAATCGCCGTGGTAGCCCATGATGCGGAGGGGGCCAAGACGGCCTGATGGGGTGTCAAGTCAGTGGACTGAGGCCCTTGTGATAAGAGCCACGGACCGAAGGACATGCTTTGAAGGGAAATGGAGCCCTGACGAAAATAAAGCTGACATACGAGCTGCAACAACGTCTGTTATTTTTCGACGCATGCGTTTTCAAGCTTGTCCAGCGAGAAGGGAGGAGGGGTTAGTCTGAGGTAGGGCTAGGTACCTAAGGTAAGGTACCTTATGATGCCTAAAATAAAGAATGCATCAACGTTGACTGATGGTAAGGTACCTAAGTGACAATTGAAAAGTCGGCAAGCGCGGACGGCTCACAGGCATCCCACAACCCTCATGGGCCTTTCCATGTCAAGTCATGCTAAGAAGGAGCAACTCACGCGGAGTGGAGCTCGATACCACGTCGTCGTTGGACAACCGAAGGCAGCGCTACTACTTGCTACCTGTCAAGTCATCTTCACCAACCCTCCTCTCCACTCCCATACCAACCCAACCTTGAGCTCTACATGGTACATGTCTAGCCAGCCACGTGTCTGCCAAGAATATCGTCTGCCAAGAATGTCGTCTGCCAAGCATCTCGAAAGCTTTAGCACCATCAGTCCCTAGCAAGCCACCACAACTCGAACCCCGCCAAGCCCATACGCAACCTCACAGGTGCCAGAGGCGCCTCGGCACAGGGCCTGCTTCAAGGGCACTTGCGCGATGCAACACATCGTAAAAGGCACGAGATGCATCACCCCTTCAGGACATGACGACCTCGCATCACGAGACTGGAAAGGGAAGTGCCGTCATGTACCGAATCATCCACGCCACATCACGAGAGCATCCCCGCAGCGACGCCCGCCAGAAATTGCTGGGTCGCGACTTGTGTTACATCGTGGCCGTGTTTGACTTATGGCAAGATTTTAAGCATGTACGCCGACTCCGGCATCGAGTCCGGCAAAAAGAAAATAGGATGATGGGGTTGCGAGGGCGAGGGCGAAGACGCTGGGAGACAAAGAACCATATCGGGCAACAACAAACCCGTGCACAAACGAAGCGTGCGTCATGGTCAACGATGCCGCCTCCCCGGCGTTGCGCTACCACCCAATCCGACATGACCCCAGAGGAGCCGATGCATGCCAGAAAATTTCTGTCTTGAGCTTAGTACCGAAAATGATGCCTCTTTCTGCCCAACCATGAAGGGAGAACACGAGATTCTGGACGGCAGCCGGGGACTGGGGCATGGTGCTCAGCGTGCGACAGTGGGAATGAAGAATGCTTGTGATAGGGACTACCTTATCTTCTGCGACAGGCAACAGCAGCGCATTACTGGCATTTCATCTCCCCGTCACGAAGGCCTGGCTGGGTAGGAGACGCCGGCCCCTCGTATAGGCGAAGAAGCAAATTAGCGCACCGACAACGAGGGACCAAAATAGGTTCGTTGTGGAGTGTACTGGCTCTTCGCTCAGCGGTCTAGCCAGCAACTGGAAAGTCTCAGTCTGGGGCTTCTAGCCGGGAACCGATACGACCTAACCTCCGCCGGGTCCAGCCCGGCGAAGGGCCTCGCCCGTTGGTTGTGCCCTCAGCGTCTTCAGCACGACGTCATGACGCGACTCGACATGTCTCAAGTGTCACGAAAGAAGCTCCCTTGCTTTAGGCTACACTTTAAGGGACCATCAGGCCAGGCCGTCCCTTTTTAAGAAGAGGCACCCGCCCACCCATCTGGTGTGGTTGGGTACCCCGCATTCTTCCTGACGCGCCCAATCCTGGTGTATGTATCGCCAAGCTGTTTCCTCACCGACCTAGCTAGCCAGCTCACATCTTGACGCTCCAACTTCACACCACTTACACAACGGGGACCCGATTGTAGCCTGGCCAAGATGCAACCAGAAAACGTGGTCATCACGGCGCACTGCCTCTGCAGGAAACACACATTTACTGCTTCGCTACCTACATCAAGCCTACCTCTGGAAGCGACTGTCGACCACAGCGATGGCGCGCGATACTTGACTGGCGGTTTGTTCCTCGCCACGGCGCCGTGGCCGACGCCGCAGGAGAACGTTTCTACCTTGAAAGCATACACCGTCTCCAAGACCGTTGAGACCTTTTCGTGTGCCACATGTTCATCGCAAATGTTTCAGCGAGAAGATGGTCAGTTGAGAGTCATCACCGGCGTTCTCGGAAAGAACAAGGGACTCGTGCAGTACAGCAAGCACACGGGCATGGAGGGCACGAAAGACGGAGGGGTCGCGCCATGGTTCGGCCAAATAACTCCCTCCGAGCAAAAAACAAGCAAGGCATGCGCCGAGTCCAGCGAAACGGAACTGCGATGCCACTGCGGCGGCGTACACCTCGTGCTTCATGGCGCGCGTGCCGAAGACGCTGAAGCGTGGCGCGCGATTGTCGATCCCGAGTCAAAGCGGTACCTGGCGACACTCGACGCTTGCGACTCGTGTCGCACGACGGTGGGCTCCGACGTTGTCTGCTGGGCTTTTGCACCGATTGCGCGCGTCAAATTTGCCGGCGAGTGGTTCGGGTTTCCGACCAACGTGGCTGATCTCAAGGCCGCCGTCCTGCGAGGCGTTGCGGGGCTCGGCACCATGAAAGTGTACGGCAGCTCGCAAGGCGTCGAGCGCTTCTTCTGCGGGCGATGTGCCGCCTCTGTTTTCTACACGAGCAGCACACGGCCGAAGCAGGTTGATATCACCGTCGGACTCTTGAGGCGGCCCGGCGGCGCAAGAGCGGATGGTGCGCTGAGCTGGGCGCTGGGCAGGGCGGATTATCTCGAGGATGTCAAGGGGGGATGGCGTGAGACTGTGATCAACGAATTTGTCGAAGGCAGCGAGCGGTGGAGGCTAGACAAGGGCGTCGCTGAGGATTTCCTGAGGGCCAGAGGTGACGTGTGAATTTGTGGCATTTCATCTTGGCCTCCACTGCGGCCTCCATTCGGGAAGCGAGTTTGACTCTGTACTTTTACTATCTTTATGTACTTGTACATTGAAGGGGAGCAGCCACGGGGGCGGGGGCGGGTATCAAGGGGGGGGGGGAGTTATGTGTCTATCTCATGAGCGCAACGCCGAGGCGACGCCAATCAAGCCGGCGAAAGGCCATTTCACAGCCAACCTGTCCACGAATCCCTTCTTCGCGCGCTCCTTTTCAATGTCGACACGCACCTTGTCGTAGACGGTGGGCAGCGTCGTGGCGTGGTACTTGAGGCGCAGCTCGTCGTACCACGCGCGGCCGTAGATGGCCCAGAAGTCTTCCTCGTCATAGTAGGCGTGCGAGTACAGCACCTTGCGGCCGCCGAGGGCGCGGACCTCGGCCTCGAGGTCGCGGTTCGTCCGCACAAAGGCCTCGAGGTCCTTGGGCCCGCGGCCCCACACGCCGACGTTGAGCGACGGCGCGCCCGGCGGGTCGGTGGCCGGGTGGAAGGTGGGCGTCGCGATGGCGGGCAGCGGACACAGCCACAGGGGCCAGACGGGGTTCGTGGCGACGAGGTGGTCGACGAGCTGGGGGGCCGCGGCGTAGGGCACGGCGAGGTCGTGGACGAGGTAGCGGAAGGTCATGCGGCTGCCGCCGCCGAGGCCGGCGCGGTAGAGGTTGCGCGTGCGCATCAGCGGGTTCAGCAGGCGGCGCGTCAGCGGCGTGAAGGGCACGAGGGGCCGGAAGTAGGCAAAGGCCAGGGCGCCGGTCCAGAAGCCGCCGCGGTCGTAGCGGAAGAGGTAGTCGCGCAGTGGCAGGTAGTCGGCGGGCGGCGGGGCCTGGCCCTTGCGCAGGGCGCCGAGAGCGGCGGCGCGGTCGCGGGCGTGCAGGTAGAACCAGGGATCGCGGGCGTGGGAGAAGGTGCGCAGCGTGACGTCGATGGGGATGGAGCGCGACATGGTGCCGGTGATGACGAGGCCCTGGGTGGCGCTGAAGAGGATGCCCTCAACAAAGTCATTGGCGGCGACGTGCGTCGCTGCCTCGACGGCGGCGCAGGTGGCCTCGACGGTCGTGTGCAGGGTGTACTCGACGCGGACGTAGGACTCGGCGTCGAGGAGGCGCAGGTCGAGGCGCGTCACGATGCCGAGGGTGCCGAGGGCGCCGGGGGCGGCGGCGAAGAGGTCGGCGTTCTGGGTGGGCGAGGCCTCGACGATGTCCCCGTTGGCGAGGACCATCTCGACGCAGGTGACGGCGGCGTCAAAGGCGCCGTGGCGGAACGACGACGACTCGCCTGCCGAACCGGCAAAGGCGCCGCCGGCGGTGATGCCGGGGAACTCCATGACGACGGGGGGCACGAGGTTGTGGGGTAGGATGGCATCTAGCAGGCCGTCCATGGCGACATTGGGCTCGACCGAGACGGTCTTTGCGGCCTTGTCCACATGAAGCACATGGTTGAGGGCGGATATGTCGACGACGGGCTGGCCGTGGGCGGGGCGTGTTGAGTTTGTGGAACCGTGGTGGATGCGGAAGGGTTGGCGGCGAGCGTGGAAGGTCTTGACGGCGGCGGCGATGCTCTGGACGGTTGCCGCGTGTGAAGCTGCCGTCTTTGCGTCCATTCTGTGATGCTGCTGCTGGGGTCGATGAGATGATGAGGTATAAGATGAGCTTTTGCCAAGTCTGATGAGGTCGAAACGATGTAGTCAGCCGGAGGGCTCGGATCTCGGATGGTGTCTTGATCTTGATGTGGTGGTGAGACATGAGGTGACGTTGACGTGACGCCAGGTGTCACCAGGTGGGGTGGTGATTGGACTCAAGCGTGGGCTACCTTGGGTAGGTAGGTATCTTGGAGTGCAAGCAGCCAGGATCAAGCATGATGCCGCGCTTTGGATTGAATGGATGGAATGGTCCTTGGCTGGATGAGAGATCGTAGCCTTGATATTCGTATTTTCGTCGCGGGTTGATGGAATCTTGGCAGAAGGAGCTTGGCTTTGATGAACTCGTCATTTGATGAACTCTGCATTTCGAGCAACGTGTACCTGCGTGAGCAGGCCATGGCCTCCTCTGCAGCATTGCAGAAACAGGCAGCAAGAGAGGCCAGCCAAAGCAGCTGGTTGAGGACGAGAGACAGAAGGCCAGTGTATCGAGCTCATGGCGAAGCAAGATGCCGCCAGGGTATCGTGCTCAAGGCTGCAGGCGAATATCGGAGCAAAGAGGCAAGGACTGGTGACTGCCGATGGTCTCGAGGTGCCGAGCCGAGATGGTCATGGCCGACGAACTGCGCCTCTTCGGTTCCCATGAGCGCACATCGGTCGCCAGGCGAGGATTCTGTCGAAGTCCTGTGTCCTGTCGAAAAGGAGGATGGAAATGCGGACAGGCTGCTTTATCGTTGACAGAGACCAAGACGCCAGGACACACAAGTGGAGCAACAGCTGCAGTCACCATTGGTGCAGGCCGCGACGAATCATGGATCCGCGTGCGTGGGTTAGGGTTGGTCCAGTCAGACGAGCCTCTGCCATCCGAAGCAAGGCCAATCCCCAACTCCCTTCACTCCACCATCTTTCGCTCTCTCAACCGGGGACCCTGACAGTTCGTGATACAGTGCACATCGCTTCTTCGCACTTATACGTGCCCTTCATGCTCTATAAATGGATCTCAACGACTTTGTTTCTTCACACGAAGGGGACATGGGGTGGATAGATGGCTCGCATCTGAAGCTTGCCTCTATGTCCACTTGCCTCTGTATTCATCCAGCAATTTTCAAGCCTGCCTCTTCCCCTTCATCGTTCATGTCCATCTCGTACTTGCGTGTATTCATTGGCCTCAGAACCACCCATGATCCCGATAGTCCAACCTATCCTCCCTCCCCGTGACACCATGGCCAATTCCAGCCCTCAATTCAAACAGGAGATCCAGCAGGTGATCCCTTCGAGAAGCACCCCTATCTTCCAGTCAGTCCACTCACATCCGCGCAGATGATGTACATTGCCGGCGAGACCCAGGACACCTCCGACGAGACGACAACCCTCATTGAGAGCATCATTCACGGCCAAGTCGTCCACATGGTCCGTCTCTCCTAAACACTTCCTCACAGCTAACACCAGCTGCTCACTCCACCCAGCTCACCACAGCCAACGACCTTGCTTTGCGCCGCGGCGCCCGCCTCTTCACCGTCGCAGACCTCATCTTCCAGTTCCGCCACAACACGCCCCGCGTCGACCGCCTGCGCACCTTTCTCACCTGGAAGGCCATCCGCAAAACCGTCAAGGATGCCGACGACAAGGACGCCCTCGCCGCCGCCGACGACGAGCCAGACGTCGACGACGGCGCCGGCGCCGGCGCCATCAAGGCCATCCCCGCCGTCCACCTGCCCTGGGACCTCGCCTCCTTCTTCGCCGAGCAGCCGCCCGACTCGGACGACGCCGCGACGGCCACGGCCGCCGACGCCCTAACGAGCGGCGCCTCGCTCGAGAAGCTGCGCCGCGACGACGAGCGCACGCGCACCATGACCGTCGACGAGTACGCCACCTGGTCCGAGTACCGCCACGCCTCCTTCACCTGGCGCAAGGTCAAGCGCTTCCGCGCCTGGGCCGGCCTCGGCGTCATCGCCGACCACCGCGCCGGCGACGACGTGCTCGACGTGCTCGGCTTCGTCACCTCCGAGATGGTCAAGCGCCTGACGGCCGAGGCCATGGCCGTGCAGGCGCGCGAGGGCCTCGGTGTCCACGTCGTCGCCGTGGCGGCGGCGACGGCGACGGCGACGGCGGCGCGGGAGAAAACGACGGCGGGGGGGCTGTTTGGCGGCGCGCGCGGGGAGAGGGAGGCCGTCGCGGCGCGCCATGTGCGCGTTGCTTTCCAGAGGCTGCAGTGCGTGCCGAAGAAGAGGAGGGCCCTGCTCGTTGGGACGAGGCTTCCGAGGAGGGAGGAGCTGCAGCTGGTGAGATGGCTTTCTGCTGTGATGTCTGGTGTTTGGCTAACGTGAGCGCAGATCTGAGCAGACATGCACGACTCGTATCTGCGTGTTTGATTCAGGATCTCTGTGACACCATTTTTTTACTTGACCCATTTCTTCTCTGTGTCAAATCACTAGGAAAGCGAATAAGGAGGAAGGGGGGAAAAGGGGGGAGGGGTTCATACAACCTCTCCCTGAGGAGCCCGGTCAAAGTTGCTGATGGGAGATGCAAAGTGCCATTTGCCCAAATTGACCTTCTTATAGTGAGAGAGAAAAGAAGCATGTGTAGACCAGAGTCGTAATCAAGCCATTCTATATAAATGTACACAAATTTCATCCTAACAAGTAGTACTATCGGGCCATCGTGGAAAAACCTGGTCTTATGGCGGCAGTATTGTACTCTGCGACTTGACTTTCCATGCTAATCTGCAGCCAACGGTGTGATCAAGGGTGCGATGAAAATAAATATGGAATCAAATTGCCATTCATACAGTCGTAAAGTTCCATCAGCACACTCTGTCCGCGGCAACTGATGCCGCCGATGACAGCCGCCTCGTACCCAACCCATGCGGTCCAATGCCGGCCACAACGAGCCTCTCACTGCTTATCCCCGTTGCCGTCATTGATGCCCTCCCTCAAAATCTCGATCTGCTTCTGGATCTCGACCCAGAGCACCAACTTATCGAGCCCGTCGCCCGCGTCATCACTCACCACGACCCACGCATCGGCCGACGCCCCGCTCGTCCGCCTCTCGCCGGCCCCGGTGCCCCTCCGCGCCAGCGCCAGCAGCGCCGCGACGAACGCCTCCTGGATGTACGCAAAGCTGAACTTGTCCGTGATCTCGGCAATGGCGCGGCACAGACGATCCGGGAACTCAATCTCCTTGTTGCTCTTGAGCTTAGCCTGCCAGAAGCGGCAGTACGCCTCGCGCTGGTCGACGTTGGGGTCCGGGAAGAGGTACTTCCTGTCGAAGCGGGAGGGGCGTTTCTGTGTTTTGTCAGTCGGGGGTCTTTACCTACGAAGAGGGAATCGCGAAGGGGGAGGGGGAGACTGACGGCAATGCCCGGGTCGAGGCGGTCGAGGTGGTTCGTGCTGGCAATGATAAAGATGCCGTCGTTGGACTTGAGCCCGTCGACCTCGTTGAGGAAGTAGCTGCGCACCTCGTCGGTGATGATGGTGTCAATATCCTCGAGGACGAGGTAGCAGGGCGCAAATTCGCGGGCCTTGTTGAAGATCTGCGAGATGGCGAACGACGGCCCGCTCCACGAGTCGAGGCTGCGGACGTAGAGGGTCGGGACGTAGGGGTCCAGGGACTGCAGCATGCGCATCGTGGCCTTGATGGTGATGGTCTTGCCGTTGCCGGGCGGGCCGTGGTAGATGATGCCGCGCTTCCAGGGGACGCGCAGCTTCTCGTACGTGTCGTGGCTGTTGAAGAAGGAGAGATGGTCGTTGATGAGGGCCTCCTTCATGCTCTCGTCGAGGATGACATTTTCCCACCTGGCCGACTGCACGCTGTCCCACAACTCGGCCGACCTCTGCCACCAGCCGCCGTCGAAGACGAGGATCTCGTTGCGCACCTCGGAGCACCAGGCGCTGACGGTCCTGACGAGGGCATCGGCGTTGTGACGCTGGGGCGTCAGAATGTACCAGTTTCGAGAGGCGCCCCATGGATCGGTACCGTCACGACCGTCGACGAAGTAGAGGATGAATTCATGGCCCTCCCATTTGTATAGGAAACGGCCGTACAGCATTTGTTCGGCGATGAAGCCGACCGAGCCATTCAACCGGCGAAAGGGGGGCACATAGAACGTCCATTCGAGCGAATTGGGCAGGGAACTGTTGTCCTCGAGCGGGATGACTGATGCGTTGCCCTGGGCTGCGAACGAAAGGAGGTCAAAGGCATCGCCTGTGAGCATGGGCACGGGCACGACCGTGAGCGACAGGTTGGGATACTCATCAGACAGCGAGCGGGTGATGAGGGCATCCGTGTTGATACGTGTGCCCATCGAATGGTCAAAGTACTGCCTGGTTGCGGGATCACTGTGCTTCTCAGATCGTGGAGCCGGCGTCGGCGCCGGCGGCGGGACTGGAGAGCGTGACGTGCTCGCCTGGGACGGGCTGGCGTGCTTCAGAGCGCCGCAGAGAGTCGGTCGAACGGCAGTATCGCCGCCTGTGGCATGAAGACGCTCAAAGTGCTTGCGCAGCTGGACAATGTTGGCTGGCAGCGGTCCATTGAAGGATCCGTTCAGAGGACTGTTGGCAATTGGATCCATGACGGGCCACGGAGAACGGACTCGACGGATGGGAGATGCAAGTAAACAGTTTGTCAATTGATGATGAAGCTCAAAGATGCACAGTTCAATGGCGGGGAGATGGTGTGAGAGATGAAGATGGAAGGATTTATGAAGAGGACAAATGCTGGTGCCTGATGGAAGGACGAGGCAAGGGCGGCCAGGAGAGGGGAGGGGGGTTGGTCGTGTCTGAGGTCAACGTGAGCCGACTGCGCCGCCCGAGAGGCACAGCTGTGGCTCAGGCGGGACATTTGCGCTGATCGGCGGGAAGCACAGGCTACGGTGCGCTGAAACAGCGATTCGGAAGAAGGCCTCAATGTGACGATGGAAGGGAGACAGGCACTTGAACGATGGACATTCTACCTAATCTGACTGG